AAGCTAAAATGCATCATAGGTAGAAAGAGCATACGATCAACCTGGTGGTAAACGGTATATATCGCCAATAATTGCAAGACTAGAGGCATACCAAAATTTACAATCTTTTATTATAAAATTTTTGAGTCACCATACCTTTTTTTATTTATTTTTTATTTTTTTTTTATTTATTTATTTTTTTAACGTCTGGAAAATGCTTTATGCAGACCCACACATGCTTGTGGGAGGTGAATGGGTACTGTGTGAATCCCCCCGTAAAGTGGGGGTGTACCCACCAAAAACCAGACGATATACCCTCGAGGTGCCATATGTCGGAGACATGGGTTCGCTTTCGCACTCACCACACCTCCGACGGCAGCGACCCGCCCCCTGATGGTAAGAGCAGGTCTCCTCTCTCAAGATAGGGTGGATGGCGTGCTCACCCTACCACTCGAGGGATGCGCCGGTTGAGTCACCATACCTAAAGGCTGAATAAGCTTACTAAACTGTTAAATAGGTAAATATTTATCCCTAGATAGAAATGTAAAATTTCCGTATAAAGATAAGTAGTTTATAAAATCATGTGTAATATGAATAAGACAAAAAAAACTCCATTAATAGAGTAATAAACCTGGAATTAAATATCCGGGACCGAAAAAAAAGCTTACTAAACTGTAAGATAGTGTTAAAATATAACTATCGAAGTCGGTTGAAAATGTATTGCAACTGATTTTGATCTCATGTTTCGGCACTTGGTTTTTTTCTGCCTACCTCACAAGGAACTTAGCGTAAAGATAGATTTCTTATTTTCCACTAATTAATAAGTTCTCGACACCTCATTATATATTTTACGTTTATAGTGTATTTTATGCGATAACGTCCTAAATTGTGAAGATTATAATAACTTTTTTGCCATCATTTTACAAATCTAGGTGTATATGTTGGTTCTAGATTAATATTGCAATGATTGAAGCTATTGTTTTTCTTTGAGAGCGAAAACAATACTTGTTGCGAAGCGAAATTTGTGTACAAACAAATCCGCGTTCTAGTTTAATTATTAATTGAGGCTTTTCGGAACTCATTTGAAATATGAAAGCCCTTTTCGGAGTAACAGAACTGTGTGCTCTCGACTATAGTATATTGATAGGTGAAAGTTTTATGAGATGATAATAGTGGTATCGTTGCTTACGCTATTAGTACACGCCAGCAGCTTAACAGTGAATAATGATAGATAAGGATTAAGTCAGACCACTTGGCACATCATGAAACATCCACCAGGAATTAACCACGATGAAGCGGAGACCGTAACGAAATCGTCCTGACAGAGTATTGCTAGCAATGTGCCATTAGACCTAATTAATAACAATTCCCTGCCCCCTTGACAAGTACTAGAAGAGTACCATTGGGTAAATCACTATAGGGCACATGTTTTGGTAGTATTTTTTTTTATACACTTAGAATGGCAAACAAGCTGACGGCCCACCTGATGGAAAGTGGTAACCGTAGGCTATAGATATGAGCAGTACCATGGACATAACAGAGTATACTGTTTCGCCCATGATACCCCTCATGCGTTGCCATTCCTGAGGACTCAGGTGTTATTCCTCTGTACCCAGTAAATTCACGCCATATCCCACCTTTCAAACCGAAACACAGCCATGCAAACACAACTGCTTCACGGTTGAAACACAAATGGGACAGAGGTACTCAAGCAATCGACTTTTGTACAGTCTCCCTCTGGTAGTAGACTTTCTGGCTTAAGTGTATCGAAAGGAGGACATAAAGTATGACAGGATAAGATCCTATCCACCCGTGATTTCTAAATCGTCAGTGCTTATGCTGACTCCGATAAACAAGTTTGTAAACATACAAATGAATTATAAAATCAGATTTCTATATTTACTTTTAATATGAATCGAAATCTCTAATTCCACTTAAGCGGCCGGTTCGGGTAGTTCCAGCACTCGCATCCCGGGTATGACACCAGCTTATGTTATGTGAAAATTATACTGGATTATAAATACTAGTTTTCACCCTTGACTTTATGTATCAATATGCAAAGTTAAAGTATTATTAATTGATATCAACTAGGATAAAAAATAGCCTCAGTTCTTTCCTATATCAACCAACCAAAATATCTCCTCGACATCCCACCTAAAAACCATATGGTTAATTCCCGATGAATCCATCACGATAGGCCAAATGACTTATCTCCATCGTCAGCTATCATCCCTAGTAGTGTAATTCTGACATAGAATGGACCACTCCTTCCTTCTCATGGGTGTCGTAAGAGGTGACTAAAGTCACTATTAGATTAGTCGAGGGATAGGCATCAGCGTCCATGTTAAAACATCACCAAAACCTGCGGTTACCAAACCCACCTAACCAAGCGTGGCTACTACTGACAAACCTTCAATAGGAACCTATGTCCAGCAGTGGGCAATTAACCGCAATACAATATTTAGATACATAGATACTCTTTATTGTTTCCTCCGAAAAATTACAATAGTAAACTTATTATAGATACAAACAATTACAAGAAATGATCACAGTGAGAAAACAATGGGCGACCATATCGCTAAAAGCGATTTCTTTCAGGCAATCTTTAGATGGGGAGGAGTAATTATAGTTTGATCGGAGGCACGATGAAAATTCAGTTACAATAATAAAAAAAATATCATTCCTAACTTGTACTCCGTCAGCATATACTGATAGGCAGGGTTAGAATTCCAAAAAGCAATTTGTTAGTACACCTAATATACGTATATATACAATAATGAGTAGGAATATATATCTATATTATTACGTTTATAACATCTCCATATTTAGAAATGAAAAAATTTAAATTTTTATAAGTTAGACATATATTTATTTAAATTATATGCAGTAATAGTATAATAATAATAAGTAATATAGTTATTATATGCAGTATGTCTAAGCCCGTGCAAGATTTAACACAATGCACGTTTGTCATTTAAAACGAAGTCACAAGAAACCGTTAATTTAAGTACAAATAAAAATAAACAGTATTATCTATGTAAAAAAAAAAAAGCAAAAGAGGATTAAATTTATATCAATGTACATTTCACCCCCTTGAGAGACTGAATTTTAGACACCTTTGTAGTAACCCTAAGGGCGAATAAACGAGGATGGAAAGATAAAATAGTTATAGCCGAGATCCCGTCGGTTTACTGGCGTGTGGCGAGACGGTGTAAACATTACGATTTTATCTAAATTACATTATATGTTTCGTCGAGGAGAAGCATACAAATTGTGAAATGAAACCAGCTACTGGATTAGGGTTTGCACATACGAAGCACTTCGAGACATCAAAAAGAAACAACTAGATTCAGTTGTGACAAAATTGTTGTTGTTGTATCATCCGTTTACTGCTGAACATACCCCCCCCCCCCCCCCCATAAGGTGGGTTTTGCCAGTAGTTGCCACGCTTGGCAAACGAGTTGGCAACCGTAGGTAGGTTTTGGAGATGTTTTAACAGGGACGCTGCTGTCCATCCCTCGCCCTCCCTTAGTCGCCTCTTACGACACCCACGGGAAAAGGAGTGGCCTATTCTATGCCGGGACTTACAGAGATAATAACTTAATTAACAAAATTAATATGAGACAAATATGAATGTAAACGCAATGCTATCAATTAATAATATAACACAAAAAAAAATACGAATTGAAAATCTTTTTATGTACGAACGATATACGATGACAGAAAAGATTTTTAATAGTAGGGACTAGCGGTCTCTTTACTAACAAAATTATAGGCAACCTTTACGAAGTCCCGCTGAAAAACATGAAGGGAAGGAATTGTTAGTAATGCGAACTACTAGTCCTAATGCTAGCGACTATTATGGATGTAATGTGTCTCGATCAACGCGGCCCCCGTTGGCGGTCCATAACCATAGGACAGTCGCTTTTACCGGATGTTTTCGCCACTGGGCGACTAAATGCTGGAATAAGATACCCCCTCCGATGAGACTAGCTGCATCCAAATCAATTTTTAAAAAGTTATTAAGGCAGCATTTATTAAATAAGCAAAAACTTGGATCGGTCGCCTGGTAGCGACTGCTTTTAACATAATAATTATTGTGGTGAATTATTTATACTGTATGTTTAATTAATTAATGAAATATATTATTTATGCATCATTCATGTAAGTATGTATCTATATAATACAATTTTATCTTTGGCTGTTAAATTGGCTACACAGGTCACACTCTGGGTTCGTTGTACGCGTCCGTGTAGCCTAACTTCAGGCTGCAGCTGAAAATCAGTGCTTTGCTTTTAAGCAAAACTATCACTGAGCTGTAGCCTATTTGGGTCACTGCGACACACTTGGTGAAAACATATTTCCATACTTCATCTTTTGTTTTATATTTAAAAAGTGTAAATAATCTGTTTGTATAAACTCATTTATACTTATTATTTGTTTTTAGGTGTGTCATAAATGGCTCAAATAAAGTGTTTATCTATCAATATACCCTGTCAGGTCGACCTCCCCCTGAATCCCAGATGTATTCAACACGACGGGCTAATTAACCTGACTTTTCATTCTCACCTATCGTTCCTCACTGGTGCGCCGCTAGTGTATACCGTTAACGTTGGCGGGGTTGTCATTACATTATCACCCATTAAAGAAAACCAGCATGACTAAATAAAGTACCCCTGAAAAGCAAAACATGGTTAATTCCCGAGGTCCCTGCTGAAAATCAGTATAATAAATTGTTGAATTTAGACGGATTTTTTTTTATAGTTATTTTTTAAATTAGATGTCAAACTCATATTGGTTTTATACAAATTTTTGAAAATAGAATCAGTACTCTTACAAAAACCATCAAATGCGATGCCCACCATGCATCCCATAGTATATATACAATGTTACATAAACCGTTTAGTAAATCCATGAAACAGCCCGCTCCCCTGTCCCCTCTAATGCCATTCAGCCCGCCGGCCCGGTGGGGGGCATCAGATCGGTGGGACAGAATTAACTATTTCTCGGGTATAAGTGAGGGGACACGCGCCAAATAATTTACATTCGTTGTGCGCGCGAGTTTGTGAGCAGTTAAAACAATATGGCCGTATTAGTTGTGAGTAGTTTTGTTTTACTATACGGGTGGAAGTGCAGTGATTATTAAGTGTTACTTGCGGATTTTTAATATTTCACAAAAACCACAGACCACAGAAATAATCATCAAAATCGGTTTAATAAAAAAAAAAGGGGGGGGGACCGATTCTGATGTGACATTTTTCGAAAGTTATCTCTTAATCTAATATTTTACTTGTACGACAATTAGTCCGTTACTCTAAGGTTGTCTTGAAAAGATTGCACTCAGCAATAAGACCGCCTTACTGTACTTATACAACTGTATCGTTACGTTTATTGTCTCGCTTATTCCCTATATTGTATAACGCAAGTAAAGTACACTCATTCATTTATTGATTTAAATCTGATACTATTAATATTATATTATAATTAATATTTTATTATACTATTTATATTATAAATTATCGTTTTATGAACCGTCATAAACCAATTTATTGCAATTTATACTTAAATCTATTTGAAATATAGTTTATATTGTTCCTTGGAATAAACATTTCAATGTGATATCAAATTGAAATATTAATTTTAGAGACAGGTTTAAAAAAATGCCAGCCTCAGAATAGACCCGAATGAGTTAAATACACAAAAAAAATTGTTTATAAAACAAAATCCAATCTCTACTTTAAAAATAAAAAAAAAAAAAACTTAAACCAACTAAATCAACATGCGACCATTATGAAAAAAATAATTCAAATCTCGTAACACTAGTTAAGAAATATAATAGTTAAGAATTTTCTCCCTATTTGAACTCATATAAGTAAAAGTCGTGGCGGTCCCGGAATAGAATAAACCACGCCTTCCTTTTCCGTGGGTGTCGTAAGAGGCGACTAAGGAAGCTTATGGCGGAGGAAAAGCAGCGTCCCTCTTAACTCTCTGACCGTGTTTTTTTTTTTCACAATATTAAAATACATCGCTTTGACAACAAATAGCAGTACGACTAGTTAGCCATCTAGCGAGATTCTGAGAAACAATATAAATCTAGCAAAACAAAAATCGCGGGATAACAACGTCAATAAACATATAAAATGCGAGCACGTCGAAATCGCGGGACGCGTAAAATCAAACTAGTAGATACTGCACGCGGAAATCGCGGGATGCCCGGTCCAGAGGGTTTTTTTTTCAATGGGTGTAAATAGTATGGTAACCCCGCCTGCGCTAACGGGATACGCTGGTGAAGCACCAGTGAAGGGTGATAGATGAGAATGAAAACAGGCCAGTTAGCCCATCATGATGAATTCATCAGGAATTAACCATGATAGTATCCAGGGAGAACCGCGAGGAGGTCGACGTGGCTGGGTATATTGCTAGCAATGGGATTCTCAGTCTCTATTACTAACAACCCCTTTCCCCCCCGGTCCAGAGGGTTAAAACTTCAGCAGAAACGATGCGGTTGCCAATTGCTGCCAAGCGTGCCAACTACTAGCAAAATAGCCCTTAAATGGGAGGCTATGTCCAGCAGTGGACAGTTAATGTTTAATACAAACAAGTAAACGTTGTTTTAAAATGATAATAATTTTATAATCATTACGTTCAAACAGCAAAATTCCATAAAAACGGATCCACAAATTTATCAAAATTTTAAAATTTTACTCTGCAAAAAAAAGAAGGAAATAAGAGATATATCTATCTATAAGAACTAATATTTATACAATAAAACATATTCGTACACAAAGTAAGGTACAAGGAGCATAATATCTACCGCTTATCAGTGCTTTCTTATTTCGTGAACGTGAATTGCTGGAGACGTGCTCGTTGGTTCACCGTTAAAAAAATTGCTCCGACTTCGTTATCCACCGTCGCAGATAAGCTTAATGGGAAACCAAAGCGACGATAGGAAAAATACGACGCGGCGTCCGAATGAATTATCTATATAGACCGAAATCGAAATAGCTAGCATTATTTGAAGGGAGCGTACTAGCAGCGAAATTGAGCATTTTCGACAAAGAAAAGTGAGTAGGGAAACTTAAAAAAAAAAAATTATACTCCATATTTATTAATTTAAACTTTATTGACCAATAAAATGAGGTAAACCGAATAATACAATGGAACGCGTCGACCCGTACTAAGACTGGTTAGGTACGGGAGACTAAATTTCTGTTTTCAAATTTTACTTCACAAAATATCTGTTCTAATTTTACTGATTTTCATTTTTTAAATCTACTGCAGGATTCGAAAAGTTATTATCTGTTGTGAAGAAGCTGTTCTGTTGCAAGAAACTCAACAGTTACTCTTTTTAATCTCTGTTAACATATACATATAAGTATATTTAAGTGATGACTATATCTAAAATTACATGGTCATTTAAAAGCCCGTGCATGATCGACTAACGCCATGGACATTTGTTATTCAAGTAATCGTTTAGTGTGTAATAGGCTTTGTTCAAAAAATGTTTTTAATAACAGTTTTAAATGTATTAAAAAGAATGAATGAAAAAAAAAATGACAGGATTATAGTGATTTTGTAATGGGATCTAACACCGCCATTGCTAGCAATATGTCAAGTCGATCTCACGCGGTTTCTTCTGGATATCATCGTGGCTTATTAATTTTGAATTAGTCCAATTGTCACTGATGATCACCGATCACCAGTGAGTGATGATAGGTGAGAATGAATGCAGGCCCAACTGACTGCTTTCATCCTCACCTATCATCACTCACTAGTACCACGTCAGCGTACATCGATAGCATAGGCGGAGTTACCATTCCATTATCATCCATTTAATAAAAAAAAGTCTATAAGTGACGGAGGGGGGAAGGGATTGTTAGTAATGGGTTCTAACATCGCCATAGCTAGCAATATACCCTATCAAGTCGACCTCACGCGGTTCCTACTGAATATCATCGTGGCTTATTAATTTTGAATTAGTCCGATGACCCAACTGACTGCTTTCATCCTCGCCTATCATCACTCACTAGTACCACGTCAGCGTACACCGATAGCATAGGCGAAGTTACCATTCCATTATCATCCATTTAATAAAAAAAGTAACAGAGGGGGAAGGGATTGTTAGTAATAGGATCTAACATCGCCATAGCTAGCAATATACCCTATCAAGTCGACCTCACGCGGTTCCTTCTGGATACTAACGTAACTTATTATTGTTAAATTCATCACAATGGGCCAACTGCCTGATTTCATCCTCACCTATCATCCCTTACTAGCGCCTCGCCAATATATGTATACCGATATTGCAGACGGGGTCACCATTTCATTTTCTCACATTAGAAAAATCTCATAACATTAAAGTGACAACTTTCTAATTTCATAAGTAATCAGTCCATAATGACAATATATATCATTAATGATATTATATTTACCAAAATAGAAATAGAAAATGATATATATATAATGGCAAACAAGCTGACGGCCCACCTGACGGAAAGTGGTAACCGTCGCCTATAGACATGAGCAGTACCGTGGACATAACAGAGTATACTGTTTCGTCCATGATACCCCCAAGCGTTGCAATTCCTGAGGACTCAGGTGTTATTCCTCTGTACCCTGTAGATTCACGCAATATCCCACCCTTTAAACCGAAACACAGCCATGCAAACACAACTGCTTCACTGTAGAAACACGAATGCGACAGAGGTACCCAAGCAATCGACTTTTGTACAAAGTCTCCCTCCGTATATATATATATATATATATATATATATATATATATATATATAATGTTTGGGACCGTTCAAATTGAGCGCTTTCTTTTAAATCATCATCATTTCAGCCGTTAACTGTCCACTGCTGAACATAGGCCTCCTCCATAAGGGGGTTTCGCCTACAGTTACCACGCTTGGCAGTTATTGGCAACCGGAGTCTGGCTTTCGTGATATTTAAATTTTTTTAAATCTTTTTAATAAAAAAACTCAATCATTTTCATTCGATTTAAAAAAAAAATATTCATATTTAAAGTATCAGTTATATTATAGAAATTTTTAAACGAAAAATAATATCTGACAAATAACCGCTTTACCGAATTTAACTTTTTTGTTAAAATTTTCCGTTATAATTTAACATAAAAGGCGCACAACACGAAAGTGTCATTGTTTCTGTTGAAGCCACTCGTTTAAAAGACACACCAAAAATTAATAAAACAATATCAAAATAACGAATGAACACAAATGCCTTTTAAGTTCATTTCACACAGTTATTTAGAGAAACGTAGCTTTTAACCGCGACTTCGTCCGCTTGGCCGGGATATGTTCACTGGACGAAATAAAAAAGTAATCAATGTCGTTCTCCATCCATCCAGTATGTGTACGAGTATATCAAATTTGATAATAATCGGTTAAGCCGTCAAGGCACCTAGAGGATAACAAACTTATTTTAATATTTATGATATTGGTAAGGATTGTTAGGTAAAAACGTCAAGTTAAAAATTACAGACTTTAAACAGGAGCTTCTCAATTTGAATGTCTTCAATCTTTTTTTGTGTATAAACATGTTTCACGGCAATTTCGTCGTTTTTAAATTGATTTAGATTTATTTATAATTGATTCATACAAATTTTCAAAAAGATTTAAGTACATTTTTTATTTAAGAAAAGCATCAATTATTTAATCATTCATTTAAAAAAAAAACAGCGGTTTGCAAATAAAATTAACTAACATTCTATAACAAAGTAGTATGGCTAATAACAGGTTTTTCTAAATTAAATTCTGTAGATTATGTGGTTGACAATTGTTAAAGGAAAAGCAGAAAAAATAAACAAATCAAATAGATAGGCAATCGTTGAAGTCACAATAATATTTTTACACATACGCAACAGATATATACATTCAATAATAAATATATACATATGCACCAATACACAGATATACGCATACATATACACATACACACCCATACACATATACATACATACAATTAAACATTATTCCAGCCGTCAACTGTCCACTGCTGAACATAAGCCTTCCCCATAAGGGGAGTTTTGCCAGTAGTTGCCACGCTTGGCAGGCGGATTGGCAACTTAACAGCGGTTAG